ACTTCCAACAACAATGTTCAAAGAGGGAATCATCAATTTTAATAAAATGCTTGATTTCATGGCTTAGTACAAAAATTCACAAAAACCCATATAAAAATACCAAATTGGGGAAAAACACCCCACCAATAAAGAAAAAAAGTAACAATAAAAAATTCCCTCAAATACATTAGCCTGAATCTTCCTCCAGTTTCAGTTTTAATGTCAAGAAATAGAATATATAATATTTATTAATTCTAGGTTTTGCAATTAGGAGTATTTCTGGTTCTCCCAAAACGGACTTCCCACTTAAAAATTATATTTATAGGCAGAATACAATGAAAAAATATTTTTTCTGCCAAGCAGGTTTAGAAGCAATAAGTCCTCTCTTCCCCTTAGCAGCAAGCATACCCAGTAACCAAATCTTAGTTTCCAACTATCATCTTCCAACAAAAGGAACCAAGAAGCCTTGGAGAAAGGCTGCTTCTAGGGCAGTTAAAAACAACAACAAGGACAACAACAACAACAACAAAAGCCAAGGAAGACTTTCTAAACTTAGAAAGAATAAGATCATCCTTAGCAGGTGAATGGATAAATTGCATTACACACAGACAACAGAATACTATTCAATGCCAAAAACAAATGAGCTGCCAAGCTATGAAAAGATATAATGGAACATTTAATGCACATTACTAAGTAAAATAAACCAATATGAAAAGGCTCTGCAGTGTATGATTACAATTATATGACTTTCTAGAAAAGGCGAAACTATGCAGACAGTAAAATGGTTATCAAGGATTAGAAAGGAGGGATGATTAGGTGGAGCACAGTGGATTTTTAGGGTGATGAAACTATTCTGTATGATGCTGTAACAGTGGATACAAGACATTTCACATCTGTCAAAATTCATAGAGTGTACAATACCAAGAGTGAACTGGAAATTAAACTATGGACTACAGATAATAATGATGTGTTGATGGAGATTTATCAACCATAACAAACAAACCAAAAACCCAAGAACAAACCTGTGGCATCTTGTAATACCAAAGAAAAAGTACTCAAACAATAGGGACACTAAAGGACATAAGAATCAATCTTCATGAATTCCCAATAACTAAAACAATTTCAACAACCAAGTAAATAAATATAGCATTGAATGACAATCCAAACTATAAAACAAATGAGTCCATTTTCATGTAACTCATTAACTAACTAGTTGAATAAACACATAAAAGTTGAAGAACCAACCAATCTTCCATACACAATTTCAAATATACCAATCTAGGGAGTAGTACTTAATTCCATTTCCCAATTCCACTCCCCAAATCCACAAGACTAAATTTAGTGATTCACTTTCAAAGAACAGAGTAAGGAAAGAGAAAAATACACATTATCAGTGGAGAAACGTGGAAAATACTACCATATCCAAGTAATGAAGGAAAAATAGTTAACCCAAGTATGAAGTGAATATCACCATGTGGATATCACCTACTCCTTGATAGGACATGATGAGAAGAGCACTCTGCCTCTGTGAAATGTTTTCCAAAAACCTCTGTAACCCCACTCAATAATCAGGAAAATATCAAACTCAGATGGGCATACACTCTACAGGTCACAAAATGGAGAGACTTCACCACAGATTAGAAGTCTTGGGGACCGGAGCCGTGGCGCCGGCACATTGGGTTCTAGTCCCAGTCAGGGCGCTGGATTCTGTCCCGGTTGCCCCTCTTCCAGACCAGCTCTCTGCTGTGGCCAGGGAGTGCAGTGGAGGATGGCCCAAGTGCCTGGGCCCTGCACCCGTATGGGAGACCAGGAGAAGCACCTGGCTCCTGCTTTCGGATCAGCGCAGAGCGCTGGCCGCAGTGGCCATTGGAAGGCGAACCAACGGTAAAGGAAGACCTTTCTCTCTGTCTCTCTCTCACACTGTCCACTCTGCATGTCAAAAAAAAAAAAAAAAAAAAGTTGTCTTGGGAGGGGCCAGCGCTTTGGTGCAGTGGGTTAATGCCCTGGTCTGAAGCGCCAGCATCCCTATGGGCACCGGTTCTAGTCCCAGCTGCTCCTCTTCTAATCCAGCTCTCTGTTACGGCCTGGGAAAGCAGTAGAAGATGGCCCCAGTACTTGGGCCCCTGCACCCCTATGGGACACCTGGAATAGGCTCCTGGCTCCTGGCTTCGGATCAGCGCAGCTCCGGCCATTAAGGCCATCTGGGGAGTGAACCATTGGATGGAAGACCTCTCTCTGTCTCTGCCTCTTCTCTCTCTGTGTAACTCTGACTTTCAAATAAATAAATAAATCTTAAAAAAAAAAAAAAAAAAAGACTTGGGAAACATGACAGGAAGTACCCAGAATTAGACCCTGGAAAAAGGAAAAAAATATTAATAGAAAAGCTGATGAAATCCAGATGAAGTCTAGAATTTAATTAACACTGATATACTAACAGCAGGTTCTCAGTATGACAAATGTACCATGGCAATGGAAGATGTTAATAATGGGGGAACTGGGTGGGATCTTAAAAAATTGCATCATCTTTGCAATTTTATTCCAAAATAAATATTTACAATAAATATTTATTTTAAAAATCAGAAAGAAAAAAATTAACTATAAAATGGAGCCATAAACCCATTAAACTAACATAGATATCTTTTTGGAAAATGTTAACCTTCTAAATTTAACTACCATTTATTCTATTTTAAAAGTCTATTAAATGAAATTAAAGAAAAAGCAAAGCCAAGAGAAAGAGGACTCACAATTTCTTATTGGAGATTAAATTATGCATTAATCAGAAACATGATGTACTGTATATTAATAGTCCTAAAATGATGCATATTAAACTAGGAGCATTTGACAGATATTAGAAATATATAACCAAACATTCCACCAATTTAATCTTCTGTTAAGTTTCACTGTACACTGTATTCTTTGGCTTACTGAGAAACAGGAATATTTAATCATTAGTGGTATTATAGAAAGAATGTTAAGTTTATGCCTTTGACACATCATGACCTTGCTAAATGGGAGATCTCTTGCCTCTAATTTTATAGATAAGAGAAATGAATGTTGCAAGGCTGTTAATAATATCCAAAACTTGATTATAAGGTCAAAGCACAAACAGTTTTAAAAATTGTGATGTCCCTTCAATGTAATATGGGGACACAGACCCATCCAAAGATTATATAATTACTTGGGGAAATGTATTTGCTTAATTATGCTCTTTACTGGTAAATTGAAAATCTCAAATTAAGTGACATTTCGTGTTAACTTGTAGGTTTTTGTCCAGTTGCAAGTAGTTTCTATCAGGTAGAAGAGATATTCGCAAAGGTTAGGGCTTAGCGGACTATAGGACATTAACCAGTTTGTGACAAACTTAACCATTTTATTATCCCAATTATAAACTGTCCGTGAATACAGAGCCCCTCAGATGCTCTCTGACATAAACATTCTTACCACCTCACTTGTTCCCTTAATAACTAATAAACTGAACAAAATCTTTGAGATATGCTTTTCTGAGTCACATTTTACATTTTCTCACATTACACTTTGATAAGCATTGAGGACTTCTCCATAGCTTGCCCGACATGGCCTTTCTTCTCCCAGCTCTACAAATTGTATATCCTGACAGAGTTGCTAGGAGGACAGTTCTTCTGGAAAATATTCTAATAATATTAGCAACTATTTGGAACTATCAAATAACATTTTTCTGTGTCAAAAATAAACTAGAAAAGAATCTAAATACATATTACTTTCAATATCATCTTCATTCCCGACTTTCATCCTGGCAGCAAAGCAGGCACAAAATAAACATGGGAACTATTCTTTTCCATTTCCCAAGTTTCCCAACTGAGCATTTTAAAAACAATGGGAAACACATAAAGATTCCCTTCTGTTTTCTTGCGTTCTTTTCTGAAGAGATTTTTTTAAGTCCCTATCTCTATATGAGAAAACAAAGATCTATAAGAGAAATTCATTACACGTTGACTGAGCATTAAGAAATTACCCACAGAATCACAGAACGTAAGATTTAGACTGGACTTTATGGATCTTCTTGTGCACTCCCATTTGAAGGAAAAAGAAGTTGGACCCAAGGTAGTAACAGTGACTACTCACTCATCTGGCTTGACTTACAAGACCTGCTAATTTGTTGTGCATGGATTTTAAATGGGTCTCAATGAATTTTATTTAAATCAATTATGGAAAAAATGTTTTCTTCCACCTGTTCAGGCACCTCTCCTTTTCCAACGACATGGGTTAATAATTATTTCAGGTATGAACTATGAACCACCTTTATTTCCATACACATGATTAATTACATTTAAGTTTTCATCAAATAGTTGAGATTGGAGCAACAAGTAAAAGGAAAAAAACCATAACTTTACATTTAAAGTGTTAAGAACAAAAGTCCAGATTAATGTTGCTTTTTCAAAGTAAGAAACGTGGATATTTTTAAACTACCAATCCAAATATACTTCTGGTGAATTTCAGTGAACTAATGATAGACTGTTCGGGTCACTTTAAAACACCCACAAAGATATTCTAAGGAAGGAAGCACACTGATTTTGTCTTACACTTTGGAGGTTCACAGTTCAAGATCAGATAGTCTGTTGGTTCAGGCATCTCGTGAGGCTTGAGGATGGTGAAGGGACAATCATCACACCAGAAACCAGTACTGTTCTCACATTCTTCCTCCATGTCCATACATCTCTTTTAATAAAGCCATCACAACTGGATCCTGGGACATGACCCTCACAGCCTAAACCAATCTAATTTTTTCCAAGGCTCCACTTTAGATGCCATAATTGGATCAAGTTTCTACCCTAATAATAAAACTATTAGTATTAATTGTTTAACTGTGAACAGAAGATTTGGAGTATGAACATCTTCATATGTCTAGAGAGCTGATGCCTGTTCTTTAGATGGTAACAAAAACTAATTTCAGTTTTTACATTTAGTGTTTAGAAGGGAAATACTATTTAACTTTTATCCAAACCAAAATCAGTAAAAGCAAAAGAGAAAAGAGAATTCAGTACCCTGACATCACTTCTAGATGAAGTTGTCCAGAAACAGTTAAGAAAGTAGGAACATCGAAGAAATTCCCCTCAGGTGCCTTTATTTTGCTTGAAGCCTACAAATAAAAAACACAAGACACAAAAAAAAGCTGTTTCATATGTTCTTTGCTCTGCATACTCACTAAAAATCACAATGCAATCAAGCCTATGTGAGGACAGTGATTCCCATGAATCACAGTTCTAAGAACCTGTCCAAAGAGAAAACATTTGCTTACAAAGCGCTACCAGCAAAAAAGTTGCCCCATATTTTGAAACCATACAACAATCAGAGGACAGACTACTTTTGTCACAAAACACAATTCTCCCTAAGAGGTGACTGACTGACTGACTGATTTTAAATTCAAGTGGCAGAAACAGAGCTCCCATTTACCGATTTACTCCTCAAATGCCTGTAAGGGCCAGGGTCAGAGCCAGGAGCTGGAATCTCAATTCAGATCTATCACCTGGGTGGAAGGAAGCCAAAGTCTTGAGCTATCAACTGCTGCCTCAAAGGATTTGCACTGATAGAAAGCTGGAATTAGGAGACAGCAGTGGGTATCAAATCAAACCTAAGTAATTGGATATGGGCATTGCAACCAGTGTCTTAACTGCTAGGCCAAAGGCCTACCCCTAAAAAGTGATTTTGATTAAGGCAAGAGATTCTGAGTTATAATTTTATAAAGAGTAGAATTACTTAAGTTCTTACATTTTGACCCATGACTGACTGAGACTTAATTTTCTCAAGGGAACAGATTCTGGAGTATGTGTTGTCCTATTACTAAATCATTAACAATAAAGCCTTTAATATAGACTTTTTTTTTTTTTTTTTTTGACAGGCAAAGTGGACAGTGAGAGAGAGAAACAGAAAGAAAGGTCTTCCTTTGCCATTGGTTCACCCTCCAATGGCCACCAAGGCCGGCGCACCACGCTGATCCGATGGCAGGAGCCAGGTACTTATCCTGGTCTCCCATGGGGTGCAGGGCCCAAGCACTTGGGCTATCCTCCACTGCACTCCCTGGCCACAGCAGAGAGCTGGCCTGGAAGAGGGGCAACCGGGACAGAATCCAGCACCCTGACCAGGACTAGAACCCGGGGTGCCGGCGCCGCAAGGCGGAGGATTAGCCTAGTGAGCCGCGGCGCCGGCAATATAGACTTTATAACATAAACTTTTAAATAAATTTCGATTGGTCATCTATATCCATGGGTTCTGCATCCATGGATTCAAACCACCATGGATAGAAAACAGCCAGAGGGGCAGTGTTGCGGCATAGCGGGTAAAGCCGCTGCCTAAGGTGCTGGCATCCCATGTGGGTGCTGGTTGGAAACCCAGCTGCTCCACTTCTGATCCGGCTCCCTGGATGTGCCTGGGAAAGCAGCAGAGGATGGCCCAAACACTGAGGCCTCTGTACCCACATGGGAGATCTGGAAGAAGCTCCTGACTCCTGGCTTTAGCCTGGCCCAGCCCCAGCCGTTGTGGCCATTTGGGGAGTGAACAGCAGATACAAGATTGAGCTCTTTCTCTCTCTCTCTTGCTGTGTCTTTCAAATAAATAACTCTTAAAAAAACTGAGAGTAAAATACAAAAAACTAAAATGTGTACACTGTTTTTTCTTGTCACTATTCCCTAATCAATACAGAAAACACCTGTTTACATAGCATTCATACTGCGTTACCCATTACAAATAATCTAGTGATGATTTAAAGAATCTAGGAGGATGTACATAGGTTATATGTAAATATCATGCCATTTTATATGAGCACTCACAGCTTTTGGTATTCTCAGGGGCCTTAGAACCAATCCCACACAGATACAGAGGGACGACTGGATTTGATTTCCACTAAAATTGAGAGTTCTGATGAGCAAAACTGCCTTTAAAAGATACAATGAGGGGCCATTGTGGCGTAGCAGGTTAAGCCTACGCCTGTGATGCTGGTATCCCATCTGCATGCCAGTTCAAGACCCAGCTGCTCCACTTCTGATCCAGTATCATGCTAATGAGCCTGGGGAAGCAGTGGAAGCTGGCCCAAGTGCTTGGACCCCTGCTCCCTGACATGAGGACTTGGAAGAAGCTCCAGATTACTGGTTTCAGCCCAGCCCCACCCTGGCAATTTTGGCCATTTGGGGAGTAAACCAAGGGATGGAAGATCTCTCTGTCTCTTCCTCTAACTCTGCCTTTCAAGTAAATTAAAAATTTTGGGGGCCAGCACAGTGGCGCAGCGGGGTAAGGCCCTGGTCTGCAGTGCTGGCATCCCATATGGGCGCCAGTTCACGTCCCGTCTGCCCCATTTCCAATCCAGTTCTCTAATGTGGGAAAGCAGTGGAGGATGGCTCAAGTCCTTGGGCCTCTGCACCCACATGGGAGACTCCAGAGGAGTCTCCTGGCTCCTGGCTTTGGGCCGTTGCAGCTCTGGCTGTTGTGGCCATCTGGGGAGTGAGCCAGCGGATGGAAGCCCTCTCTCTCCCTTCTGCCTCTGCCTCTGCCTCTCTGTAACTCTGCCTTTCAAGTGGAGAAGATAAATCTTTACGGCCAGCGCCGCGGCTCACTAGGCTAATCCTCCACCTTGCGGCTCTGGCACACCTGGTTCTAGTCCTGGTCGGGGTGCTGGATTCTGTCCCGGTTGTCCCTCTTCCAGGCCAGCTCTCTGCTGTGGCCAGGGAGTGCAGTGGAGGATGGCCCAAGTGCTTGGGCCCTGCACCCCATGGGAGACCAGGAGAAGCACCTGGTTCCTGGCTTTGGATCAGTGCGATGTGCCGGCCGCGGCGGCCATTGGAGGGTGAACCAACAGCAAAAGGAAGACCTTTCTTTCTGTTTCTCTCTCTCACTGTCCACTCTGCCTGTCAAAAAAAAAAAAAAAAAAAAAAAAAGATAAATCTTTCAAAAAAATCTTAAAATAAATACAATGAGCAATTCAACTTTTATGAACTTACAATATAGATGTGATTATTCCATTTGAAACAGGTAAGAAACGAACTAGCCAACACTTGTTGAACTAAACAACTATTTAGAAGCCAAATATGACTTCAATAGTATAATTAATAAAGTTTCCAAACCAAGTTATGGATATCCTTTTTTTTTTTAGAAGGAAACTAAATGATCTACTCACATTTCAAATTGTGCACTACTTTAGAATGCTTCAGTGTAATGGTATAGGTAGTACAAAAACAATAAAATCAATTAAAGAAAAGTAAAAAAGGATGTAAGACTTCTTTTAACAGAGATTGTATCAAACATTATAGAAACAAATGAAATAATGGTATGTAATTTCACTGGTTGTTCTAAAAAGTTGTTCTAAAAATACTGCATATGGGGAGTCTATGTGGGTGTGTGTGTGTGTGTACAAATAAGAAATGTTTTGTGAAAATCAGCAACTGAAAATTCTCATTTACTTTTTTAACTGGCTATTCTTTCAATTTTTTTTTTTGTTAATTTTAGTTATTTGAAAGGCACAGTTACAGAAAGAGAGGGGGAGTAAGAGAGAAAGAGATCTTCATCCTCTGGTTCACTCCCCAAACAGTCATAATGGCCAGGGCTGGGCTAGGCCAAATCCAGGAGCAAGGAACTCCTTTCAGGTCTCCCGCATGGAGACCACTGGGGCCATTTTCTGCTGTGTTCCCAGGAAGGAAGCCAGATGGGAAACAGCAGCTGAGACTTTAAATGGTGCTCAGATATGGGATATTGGTGTTGCAAGCAGCACCTTAATCTGATGTATCACATTACTAGCTTCTCTTCACTAATTCGTGATTGAGAATTACTTTCCAAATAATGCCCAGTAAATTTATAAAAGCCCCATGCTTTCTTATTTCCTTCACTTCTTTAGTCTACAAGTTGTATTGATGTTTTCTCAATGCCAGGCAATGTGATTTCTCTAATTCCTTGTACACATAAAAAAAAAAAAATCTGGTTTGTATGACTAGAAATGAATCTTGCACTTATTGGCACTTATACAAAATGGATTCTGATTTTACAGCTCACAAATTCAACTTATTTAAATGAGCATAAACATATTACTACGTTGTCATGACCTCCAATTCTATATGTTGAACATGTATATATAGAAATTCACTGGGCCAGCGTTATAGCACAGCGGGTTAAGCCACTGCCTACAATACCAGATCCCATATAGGAGCCCCAGTGTGAGCCCTGACTGCTCTATTTCTGATCCAGTCCCTTCCTAATATATCTAGGAAGGCTACAAAAAATGGACTAAATACTTGGACTCTACCACCCATGTGGGATCCCCGAATGGAGTTTCAGGTTCCTGGCTTTGGCCTGGCCCAGCTCCGAATGATGCAGCCATTTGGGGGAGTGAACCAGAAGATGGAAGATCTCTTTCTCTTTCTCTGTCACTCTGCCTTTCAAATTAAAAAAAAAAAAAAAAAAAAAAAAAAAAAAAAACTTAAAAAATTCATATCACTATTACAAATTAATTCCTTTTATTTTTCCTTTATATTACCATGAAAGCATTATAGACTTTTTACAAAGTTCTGTGTACATTAATACCTAAAAATTTTATCTCATAATACTAAAAGGGCATTATAAAATATTTACTTTAAAAATTACTTGGGGTTGGTTTGTAGTATAGCAGGTTAAGCTATCACCTGTAATCCTGGCATCCCATATGGGTGGTTTTATGTCTTGGTTGCTCCACTCCCAATCCAGCTCCCTACTCATGGCCTAGGAAAAGGCAACATAAGTTGGCCCAAATGCCTGGAACCCTGCTACCCACATGAGAGACACAGAAGAAGCTCCTGGCTCCTGGCTTCCACATGGCCCAGTCGCAGCCACTGTAGCCATCTGGTGAGTGCACCAATGGATATAAGATCTCTGTCTCTCCTCTATAATTCTGCCTTTCAAATAAATAAAATCATCTTTTAAAAAATTACTGAAAGTGATGTCATCAAAAACAGTGGAGTAGGTAGCTCCAAAAGACCGTTCCACCATTGAAAAATAGAACAGAAATTGTGGGAACTCTGAAAATGGTTTATAACAACCAGTGAATCGTGAATCAAGGAAAAGACCAACTCCACCCAACAACAGCAGAATGCACGCTGTTTTTAAGCGCACATGGGATAATAA